AGAGAGAGAGAGAGAGAGAGAGAAGAGAGAGAGAGAGGAGAGAGAGTGAGAGAAGAGAGAGAGAGAAGAGAGAGAGAGAGAGAGAGAGAGAGGTAGAGAGAGAGTGAGTGAGTGAGGCAGAGAGAGAGAGAGGAGAGAGAGTGGGAGAAGAGAAGAGAGAGAGAGAGAGAGAGAGAGAGAGAGAGAGAGAAGAGAGAGAGAGAGAGAGTGGCAAAGAGAGAGAGAGAGACAGACAGACAGACAGACGATCCTACTCCTTGTTGCGTACAACATGGAAATTGAAACCATGCCAGTTGATTTAATGACAGGCCTTATGATACAACGCGCTACCCCCCCCCCCCCCGTCCTACCCACACTCAATATGAAAATGAACTAAAATGGGGTTTAATTTCCCACTGTTCTGTCCATACTGGGTTAATCAAGACGGGCATTTGCCGTAAAATTTGCTCGGACATCGGCACTACGGCCTACTCTTATATCGAATACCAACTGATAAGGGCTCTTTTACGTGCACGCCAATGTGTACGCGGATTCTCGGTCTGTCGTCCAATAGGAACGACCAGGCCCGTAGCTAGTAACTAGCCCCCCCCCCCCCACCCCCCAATGAAAAATTCGTCGACCATAAAAATTAGATATATATTGTCCGTCAATATTACAGCACCCCTGAGAACATTTAGAGCCCCCCCCCCCTCGTTGCTCTAAGCTACTTACGGCCCTGGGAACGACTATATTGTTCCTGCCAGGATCTCCATCCTACACCACTGACAAGGGGGAACCACGCCGGAAAATCTCGAACATGGGACCTCTTAACAATGAGCACGTAGCTATAAACGCTGGTATACTGTGATGTGTTTGTTTTTAGCTACGATTGGGTGCCTTTAGTTCCATCTAGCAAACTTAATTTCTTTATTAATGCATGTAAATTAGAAATAAGTTAATTTTATATTATCAGGACGAATTAAACATATCCAGCCCAATGGAGTGAAACAAATCAAGCGGTGTTTTTATCAAAATTGATTTATAATTACTAGCTAGTCATGCGCGACTCGTAAAGGTTGTGTACTTCTCAAGTATTTTGATTGGCTGTTGTACACGACGTATATTTAACTCCGCCTTTATGACATAAATAAGTGAAACCTATTCCGTTTTAAAATGTCGGGCTATTATGACTTAGATTTATAAGCGATGGTTTGTATCCGAGTAGAGTAGGATTACATGCTTAAACATGCATTATGCAAGAGCAAAATCTGCTTATTACAAGTCTTTCTTTAGGCCTGAAATGTTATCGAAATTATCAATTAGACATTAATTAACATATCCAAACCATAATAAACTCTCGATGTCAAGGCTAGCCTTCGATGTTGGCTGGATTAGATTACTATATGCCACTAACAGCCATTGATAATTAAATAAAAAAAAGTGGATAATCGAAACTATGCTTTTTATATTAATGATTTTAGTAATGATGACCGAGACTATGCAAAAAATTCACCCGCTTCTTTCTCGGCTCATAGTGGATCAATTTGACTGAAATTTTCAGCAATTACCTTTACACTATCTAGTTTTTAACTATTATAGCGAGAACTGCCACCTCTTTATCTTATGTCCCATAATGTATCTTTAATTGTAGTTGGAGTTGGAAGAAATGTAACAAATAACAATAGTCAATCGTCGTCTTGAAGACAAAATTGACAGTTTTGCTTATTGGAGAGAGAGAGAGGGGGGGGGGGAGGTAACGTCCACTCGACACAGACTAGGTCATTTCGGGACTAATATATGGTTCAATTTTATTTCAATAATTCGCTTGCGCGTAGGGGCCTTTAGCAGTGGGAGGAAATCCCAGAGGTTGGACAGGCGACCCTACTCCTTGTCACGTAAAACAGGGAAATCGCAACCACGCCAGTTGACTCAATAACAGACATTATGATACAACCCGCACTCGTTAACCATTCGGCCATCCAACTCCCCTGCTTATTGGAGTCAGGCCCGTAACTAAGAGGGGGGGGGGGGCGCAGGGGGGAGCAGGGGGGGGAGAAGCCCCCCCCCTGCAAAAAGTTTCGCCCCCGCCTGTGACAAAATTGTCGACCACATATATACATTGTCCGTAAATTTTACAGAACACCTCCCGCCCCACCCCCTCGTGGATCTGGGCTAGTTACAGCCCTGATTGGAGTACTATATGATTCTCATTGTACTTTGTCAGGTGGAACTACATAGTAGCATCTCTTATATCGAGTCAGACAGGGTCGAGAGATGGAGTTTCTTATCTAGGGACCCCCAATTTAGCAAGCCAGCATTTTTCTCGGCTCGAATCGCTTGATGTAATTATCCTTGGATATATCTGTTACCGAAATCTATCTGTTGTCAAATGAGAAGTTACATCACCCTGTCTATAAATAGATACAGTTCAATAAGTCGTTCACCCTTATTATCACTGGATGCTAGAGGCTACAGGCCCATTAACATGCCTTTTTAATTATAAACAAAAGCACCAAAAAAAAAAAAAAAAACGACAATTAGTTTTCTGGCGACTTTCTATTTTTGTTAAACAAATGAGTAAAAAAGAAATATCCGATGGCGAATATGAAACATAATGTCGATTGATAATGAGGTATTTCAACCATCTTGATTTCTCGCATAGATCTATAACGATGTGATTCTAACTGGCTTCTACAAAATGTCCACGGGGGAATCCATTACAAAATGTCCGGGGGGAATCCCCGTCGTGACAGGTTTCTCAAATCAAAGACTAGCATTCTTACACGCTACCTTATAATTGTTATCATGTGAACATTGTCAGCAATGATAGAAAACTGTATTTAGATAAATCACAGACCAAATAACCAGAAAATTTATACCAACTGATGATGACAAACTAATGGTGAGATGTTTAACGTCCACACGACACAAACTAGGTCATTTCGGGACTAACACATGGTTCAATTCTATTTCAATAATTCGCTTGCGCGTAGGGGTCTTTAGCAGTGGGAGGAAACCGGAGGACCCGCAGAAAACCTACGAGGTTGTACAGGCGACCCTACTCCTGGTCACGTACAACCTAGGAATCGAAACCACGCCAGTTGGCTCAATGGCATACCTTATGATACAACGCGCACGCGCTAACCATTCGTCCATCCAACCCCCACAATCCAATGGAATTATCCAAACTTTTCAAATTAATGAACTCAGTTATATTGCACAGGCCACTATTCTAAGACATAAGGAACTATTCTAAGTAATATATTTATTGTTATATGGAATATATATATTACCCACTCGCCCAATTATACGTTTTATTATATTACTGTGGTATATCAGTTTACCCACCCACCCAACCATACGTTCTATTATATTCATGGGGTATTTCAGGTTACCCACCCATACGTTTTATTATATTACTGTGGTATATCAGTTTACCCACTCACCCAACCATACGTTTTATTATATTCATGGGGTATTTCAGGTTATCCAACCATACGTTCTATTATATTACTGTGGTATATCAGTTTACCCACTCACCCACCCATACGTTTTATTATATTCATGGGGTATTTCAGGTTATCCAACCATACGTTCTATTATATTACTGTGGTATATCAGTTTACCCACTCACCCAATACGTTTTATTATATTCATGGGGTATATCATGTTACCTATAAAAATAGATTAAGTGTCTGTTTATAGCCATATAACAATTAAACATTTTGTATACATACTGAACTAATCTCAACTTTTATATTGAGTCGATTTTGATTTATGAGTTTATCGATACGGAGATAACTAACTAACGAGGCCTATTTACGTTTTGTCAGTAGAAATACAGCCATGGTGATATTGTCATTCACATTGAAAGGTTACAAGTATAATTCATTCAATTGAGTTTTTATGGACTTTAAACTTTCTAAATAGCAGATTGTATCGCGGACAATGAAATGGGATTTAACGTCCTACTTTCTAAATAGAGAGAGAGAGAGAGAGAGAGAGAGAGAGAGAGGGAGGGAGAGAGCGAGAGAGAGAGAGAGAGAGCTAGAGCTAGATGGTTTAACGTCCACTCGACAAAAACTAGGTCATTTTGGAACTAACTACAATCACAAGTTATTTCAACAACACAGACTGGGAGCAAGGGGTCCTTTAGTCTGATCACGTAAAGGGTGAGGGGGGGGGGAGAAATGAAGTTTAACGTCCACTCGACGTCATTTCCGGACTAACACATGGTTCAATTTTATTTCAATTATTCGCTTGCGCGTAGGGGGGTTTAGCAGTGGGAGGAAACCGGAGGACCCGGAGAAAACCTACGAATCGAAACCACGCCAGTTAACTCAATGACAGACCTTATGATACAACGCGCACGCCCAGTGGTTTAAAGACAAAAATACATCTGTAACTGTAAGATCTAATCGCTCTCTACCATTATGGTAACTTTCCAAAATTAGAATACTTTCAGACTGTAGAAAGTAGTCAGCTTCCCGGAGTGAAACCGAGATCTAATTTCAATTATACTATTACATACGATAATTTCTACAAAGAATTAGAAATGATTCCAGACGAACGCAAAATAGTTGTCATATATCCCACCTCATGTACGACTTCTATTAAAACTTTTAGTTAAATGGAGTAAAAGTCTGAAGGTCCTTATATGTTCCTAATGAAAAGTCACAATTTATCTTACTTCAATAACGATAAAAGAAATATCAAGAGTTACATAAGAACTATACCGTGAAAAGGCTGCAGGCACATCGAACAGACCAAAAGGTACTGGACATGCACTAGTTTAAAATAATATACCACAGTATAGAATAATCTACTTCAGTTTAAAATAATCTGCAATTCTGTTCAACACAGGCCAAACGGTGCTGGACAGGCACTGGTTTAAAATAATATAGCAAAGTATACTAGTATAGAATAATCTACTTTAGTTTAAAATAATCTACTATTCTGTTCAACACTTTCTACCTGTTTTGTTTTTAAAACTCGACCTAAAGTAAATAAAACAAACTTACCTTGTGAGAGTGTTTGTGTGTGGGAAGAAGATGACTAGTTATAACGGCTGTAATTCCATGTTTAACCGACACAGTAGAATATTATAGTGCACTTCTCGCGTCACGTTCAGATATTAACCAGGATATATCAGAAGACCCGTCACACAGAAAGTGCGTATCTCCTACTAAATGATAGTCACTTTGTTTTCTTTCTGTATATCCCTCTCTATAAGGACTTGATCTTTAACGCGATCAATAGAATGCCTATGAATGGACTACTTGTGATTTAAGGCCAGCTATATATATTGTATCGATATTCCGTGTATTATGAGGTTCACGGCTATTCAACTAGCCTTTTATTGATAAAATTCACATGTGATATTTAGAATAACAATAGACCGACAGTATAGCATATATTAGAGCACTGTCTTATTAATATCATATTGTTATTTCTCTATCGGTATTTCTCGATACATTCCGGTAATTTCCCGTGTTTGACGGTTAGTGCTAAATGATAAGGCCAGCTCAAATTTTCATCATAGGTCACGAGATGTAAACAGGGCTAGCGCTTATCCCAACCCTGAACCTAGCCCCAATGCTTAACCTAACTCTAACTTAAAATATCGCCAACAACTACGTGTCCTAACCTTATTTACATCCCAGCGACCTTGACACAAAATGAGCTGGCCTTAACAAATAGATTTAGCCACAGCAGATATTAGTACAGCATGCGAGCGCACAATCTGTTTTACAGACCTAATGCGACATCCGTCTTTTATCTCTGTCCAAGATGACTGACCTTTAAAAGGTCAGACCGCTGTAGTTCTAAGGGTGACGTCACATCACAATGTTTACCAACAAAGCAAGATGGCATCGATAACGCCAAAAAAGATTACTTCTGTGGCTTGTAAACAAACACGAGCAGGTCAATCAGATTAGACGGTAAAAAATGTACTTCTGAAAGAATTCAGAGTAAACAAACAGAAAAAAACGTCAAATTGATGGTCACACGTGCGTTTTTTCCATCGAACGTAGTAATATGAACTGGTACGGGCAGAATTATATCGTTTTACCCATTTTACGCCTCCGCGTACTATTTTCTGTACCTATTTACGCTAATTATGGAATATTTTTTATCAAGATATACTTCAAACACCTTTATTTATTTTTCTAATACTAAAAAAAAATGTTTAAGAATTTAATTTGTCGAAAAAAAAAGATTAATATTTTGTAGTCATTAAGTCGCATCGATGTCATCCTTATCAGTGATTGTAGCGGCCAAACGAATATTCACTGCGGATCAGTGTGGCGAGCGCATACTAATATAATATTGGCAATCGGCAATAATCGATACACCCCAGCCACTTCCGGTGTTTGACAATAGACACACTGCATTTCTACAATTACAGATTTCCTTTTTTAATTTTAGTATCTGACATGTCGTTTGATAAGCCAATTTATTAAACCGAAGTTTGTGATTACTGTTAATTTTCAGAGAACGAACAGTTGTGCGTAACTCACATTCAACACAAAAGGGGATTGAAATGAAATAGGGTTTAATGTCTAACGTCTCTGCACCGACCGGGCTACTGACGACGGGCATGCGCCATGCAGTGTCCTATGGGAACAATGCTACCCAGTCGAATTGCAACTGTCGTGGGTTGTCTTAAGTGCACGCCAACGTGTACGCAGCGTCTTGACATTCCCTCCACTGTCAATGTGCCCCACAACCTCAGCTAATAAATGGTACATTTTGAGTTTAGAAATCGTTCCCGTTTCCTTTTACAATTCGTAACAATGCAGAATTACAACAAGAACTTGGTTACTTATCTGAACACCTGTATTCTAGAAAAATCAGTAAATTCCCTCGATCGCCTGGATCAACAATCGCCCGAATCCTGCCCCAATATGTTCACCCGGATTTTTTATTCTTGATAAAGCAAATGATACGTTTCGACTAGGATTCTCTAGTCGTTATCAAGCAAGAGATGCGTTTCGACGATGATCCTACAGTCGTTATCAAGCAAAAGTTACGTTTCGACAATGACCCTACAAACGTTATCAAGCATATACAGTAACATGTTTCGACGACGATCCTACAAACGTTATCAAGCATATACAGTAAAATGTTTCGACGATGATCGTACAAACGTTATCAAAAATAAGATACGTTTCGACAATGATCCTGCAAGCGTTATTAAGCAAGAGATACGTTTCGACAATGATCCTGCAAGCGTTATTAAGCAAGAGATACGTTTCGACAGTGGTCCTGCAAGCGTTATCAAGCAAGAGATACTTTTCGACTTGAATTCCCTAGTCCTTATCAAGCAAGTGACCCTAAATTGTTATCAAGCAAACTATTCGTTTCATCTCGAATCCTAGCTGACACATCGCTCTGTAATTAAACGTAACTATATTCCATTGAATTATTCCCTGTGCAGTTCCACCGCGTGTTACACCACATATCTCTGTGAAGGAGGATGTCGGCCTTTACTACCATCAATCAATACCCTTTACGATTAGTACCAGACATGTTCTTAAAACAGGTAATAGCTTCACTAGATCAGACCTTAATGGCTGCATGGGGTATATAAATACGTAGATTAGAGAGGGTTATTTGTCATGTGATATCGCCCTAGGTGAAAGCGGACGTTAAAAACGACAGGGAGAAGAAGAAGAAATGAAATGAAATGGGGTTTAACGCCCCCCTGTTCTGCTCCGACTGGGCTAATGAAGACGGGTATATGACATACAGTGTCCTGTTAGGGCAATTTTACCCGGGTAGCGGCATTGTGGCCTACTCTTATATACATTTCCAACTGCCAAGGGATCTTTTACGTGCATGCCAATGTATACGCGGGACCTCGGTTTTCCGTCCCATCCGAACGACTAGACAGCTCTCTTTTTCAGGCCCTACGTCCTGCATCACTGACAAGGACAGACCACATCGTAAAAGAAGAAGAAGAGAGATGGGTCATAATAATTTGCTATCGGTTGTCTATATGTCAACTTCTGAGTTAAGGAAGAAATGGTATAAGGTGTTCTAGAAAGAGTGCGCGTACCCTGCCTCGTGTACAACTCCTGTTGTTATTCCTGTATATATTATTAGTGGTATCAAATTTTCTAGAAATAGAAGTGGTATCGAGTATTCTAGAAATAGTACGCATACCCTGCCTCATGTACAATCCTGTTGCGATGTATGTATGGATGAGAAAAGTTACCAGGTGTTCTACGCATACTCTGTCTCCTGCACAATTTCTATTATTATTCCCGTGTAGATAAGGGGACTACATCTACTTAAAAAGAGACATTTCTTCGCCGATCGATAAAAAACGAATGATTGAGTGTTGAACTGTTTCCTCCGCCCCCTCTCTCTCTCTCTCTCTCTCTCTCTCTCTCTTCCTCCGTCCCCTCTCTCTCTCTCTTTCTCTCTCTCTCTCTCTTTCTCTCTCTCTCCTCTCTCTCTCTCATATGCCAGGTTGGTGCAGAAAAGTTTCTTTCTTAAAGTGTTAGGCCAAGAAAGTTCCTCGGATTGTCCGGCGTGGATTCGTCTTACCAGTGGTGCAGGACGGTGAGCTTGACAAGTAACAGTGTCTAGCTTTTCAAATGGGACAAAAGACCCGAGTTCTCTTTACACATTGGTGTGGACGTATGCAGAGGCGTAGCCGTGAAATATATATGGGGGGGGGGGCCGCAACCCTAACCCCTAACCCTAACCCTTTTTTAAAACCCCTAAAAATATAAACAAAGCATTATGGTTACGTGGCTGGCTGAGCGGGCGATAAATATTTGGCTTAGGCGATAATGTTTTTGGGTCCCTACATGTGATTATCATGGCAGAAAAAAATTAACAAAATATTACTGACAGGCTAAATAGACACAATTTTATGGACCACAGTTACTTTTCACTTGACACATGTTACCAGGATGATTCTCTCTGTGTTTTATTTTAGCAATGTAAACCATATTGGGATATGTACATGTTTTATACAGATAGAATCTTAATTAATCCTAATAATTGTTGTAAATAAATAGGAGTTAGGGCCTACTATGGAAATTTGGGGGGGGGGGGGGTCGGACCCCCCGGACCCCCCATGTGTGACGCCCATGGACGTATGAACAAAGACTTTTAATGACAATTGGGGTTCGATACAAAAGTAGACCGTAGCGCCGCTATCCGGGCAAAATTCCCCTCATAGCACACTGTATGTCCATCTTCATTAGCACAGTCGGAGTAGAACAGTAGGACGTTAAACCCCATTTCATTTCATTTCACACCTCTCCCGATGTCTCTGGGGTTTGGATTGCCGAATGGTTAGCACATGCGCGCTGTATCATAAGGTCTGTCACTGAGTCAACTGGCGTGGTTTCGATTTCCCGGTTGTACGTGACAAGGAATAGGATCCCCCGGTTTCATCCCATTGCTAAAGACCCCTACGCGCAAGCTGTTTATTGGAATAAAATTGAGCCATGTGTTAGTTCCGAAATGACCTAGTTTGTGTCGAGTGGACGTTAAACCCCATCTCTCTCTTATTAGCCCAGTCGAAGCAGAACAGAAGGACGTTAAACTCCATTTTATTTAATTTCTCTCTCTCTCCCCCTCCCTCCCCCTCTCTTCTCTCTCTCTCTCTCCCTCTCGCTCTCTCTCTCTCTCTCATTAGCCAAGTCGAAGCAGACCAGAAGGACCGTTAAACTCTCGCTCCCCCCCTCTCTCTCCCTCTCTCTCTCTCTCTCTCTCTCTTCGTGCTAGTACTCACCCACCCCAGGACAAAAGAGTACAGTACATGAAGTAATTAGCTTACAAGCTGACCTTTTTCTTGTTGCAGTAAAACTCAGCCTGCATTAAGTGACGATATTAACTAACCAGCTAGACATATATATAGAATATCAGATATTAATAAGAAGATTATGTTCACTATTTATAATTAAAGTCATCTATAAAAAAAACACAATCATAATTTATATGTAAATGTGGTCCTTGTAATGAAGCGGATTAAATTAAATCATACATTGGAGACATCAGTTAAATTACAGATGTAAGGACAAAACGGCAACGTTTAGCAGTACAACATTGAGTTACACAATCTAAAAGTCCCTATAATCTCACGGACACGTTCTAAAAGTCCCTATAATCTCACGGACACATTCTAAAAGTCCCTATAAACTGGGGAACACATTCTAAAAGCCCCTATAATCTGAGGAAAA